ATTTGATCATCGAAATATTTAGGCCACTTAAACAATGACGACGAAAACGTGGATAAATATTGAGAGAAAAAAGTAAAAACAACTAATGAAAACGAAAAAATAATTGTTTACACGAATCAAACATCGTAAAAATTTGCTTACAAATTATTTAAGACAGGGATCGCTTGTTGAATTGCAATAATTTGTAAAAAAAAGAAACTACTAAATGGAGATTTAATTTATAATTTAATTTTTCAGGGGGAAAAAATACGGGCAATTACTGGAATGAGCAGTTACGTGAGATGGAAATAGATTTTTTTTTCTTGTTGTATAAATTGTAAAAATTTTCTATAAAAAGGAAAAAACTCAATTAAGTTATTCAACTGATTGCAAGAAAAAAAATTGCGCGAATCGGTGTAAAATTATTTGGAATCACCTTGCAGTTAGCATGCAAATTTTTGCCGCGTTTCGTGCTATTTGCAGTTTTTATGCTTTTATATCTCCATTCAATGGAACGCATGCATCGTCGAAAAAAAAAAAAAAAATTTAACGACGTTCGTTGTTAAAATGATAGCACGACACGTGTAACATTGCGCATAGAACGCGCCATCAATGACACGGTGCAAAAGAATTTAAAAAAATCTGCACAGAGTCAATTATTTAAAAATAGAGATTGGATTAATTCTATGTATCAAAAAATACTATCACGATAGAATGTCTAAATAAAATATAATGTAATAAAAAAACAATTGTTAAAATATTTCACGATGGGTTCAAACAAAAGATTGATATTAAAACAAAAAAAAAGAAACAAAAAAATAGAATTTTAATTCTACATACACCATTACACTTCAAAAATAATATAAAATTTATATTCGAATATTCAGATTTAATACTTATTGAACCTGTAGATAACAAAATAAAATAGCTTATGAAACAGTAAAATCTATTCAACGAAACTTATCACATAAAAAAAAAAAAAAACGAATCTCCTTTTTGTTTCATAAAATATTCTCATTTCGTATGCGATCACGGTATTTCCCTCCCATAAATAATGCACACTGAATACTGACTGACAGATTTCAATTATTCTTCTCACCTATTCTACTTTTTCAATTTTATAAAATACCATAATTCACCCCTCCTCCAATTATATTCCTTTCATTTGTCTGTTTATCAAAATTCTCGAAATATTGAATTCGAAGCAAAAGAAAATCACTCTCGTATAACGCGAGAAATAATGGCTCAAAGGGTTCAAAGGGTTAACAGCAACAGAATGCTCAAAGGCCGAGAATTATCGCGACGAACGCGCGCAAATGCGCAACGACCAGTCCACCTGTCCTCACCTGGCCTCCTCGACGTGAATGGAACTTATAACGGGACTTAACGTAGGCATTGTACGAAAAAAAAAGTGAAAGGCAAGGCCACTTGCTGAGCCCGGTGTGTAAAAGAGAAGGAGGAGTAAAAGCAAAAAGAGGGGAGACAGCTTTGACATTGGCAATGACCAGTTTCAGTTACACGGTTGCCCGCGCACTAGCATCGACTTTTCCGCGAAAGAACGGATGAAATGGAAATTGCGCGAGGAATTCACGCGTATTCCGATACTACGCGGCCAAACAGGTGGGACAATGGACGAATTAGACGTGTGCGACAGCGACGAAGATAGGTATTGTCGATCGATCGCGTCAAAATTCTCCTCCTCCCGCGTTCTACATTATATTGACTGATTCTACATTATATAATTCTGATTCCACGTGATATATTTCGTGTATTTTGCAGGAATATGACATACGCGAACGCGCTTTGTTCAAATGTGCACGGGCCGTATAATTTCGTAGTGTATTAAACGCGAGAGTGTTTGTCCAGTATCGCGTAAATGAGGATAAATAAATAAATAACTTTTTAAAACGAATTTCATTAAAAATTATTGCAATCAAACTAATTGTTTGATTATAATTATGGAAAGTTTAATGAAAGCAATATATTTGAAGAGGAAAGAGAAAAAAAAAAAAAAAAAAAAGTAGATTTGAGTGAAAGTAGAGGATTGAAAATCTTGTAAAAAAATATGTTGGTCTACGTGAAATATATTAAAAAATATGGAATAATTATGCGAACTAATAAAGCAAGTTTGTTTGTTTCTTTAATTGAAGCTCGGTTTGAATTTTCCCCTTCATAAATAATTCAAAATTGATCAATTTTCTCTAAGAAGTTCCTGCACTCTGCCCCTAAACTTTAGCTATAATGTTCCTTCGTAAGTAAGCAACTCCTGCCCGCCTATACTTCTCAAAAGCATATCGCGTAATATTAGGTTCATTATTTCCTGATCACTGAAAACATAATGAAATTTAAACGATCCATACTTCTCTAATATTAATTATCTAACACTCGAACATTCTCTTGCGTTCAATCCTCTTCAATTTACCTATCATCCACAATTTAATCTTTATGTCTTCTATGTACAAATTTTGATAAAATTTGTCCTATGTCCATTTTGATAAAACTAGAAATTAATTTGAACTTTCGATCCATCCATATACCGTATTTTTATCGTAAATTCGACGAATAATATATTTATAACCATTGCTCCATTTCTCGAAATTTCAAAATCTCGAATCGATCAAGAATGAAAAAAAAAAAAAAAAAAAAAAGAAAATTGACAAAATAAAAAGGCTCGAGCCACGAAGAGGTTAAAACGGGGCGAATCATATTTCTACGGTGATAAAAAAGAATCGTGGAAGTTCGGTGGCGAGCGTGGAATGAAATAAAAGCTGCGAAAATCGAGTTCGAGGACCACGCTGGCAAGTAGTTTGTTGAATCGATCGAAGTGAAAACTAGCCCCAAGCGAAAACATCCTGACGATTTTTGTCGCAGCAACAAGTTGGTGGGTGGGACCCGTTCGGCCTGGCTTCGAAGCCTGGATACGCATTATTGTAATATTCAGCGAGGTGAATTCAAAGCCGCCAAAGGAATCCCAGGGGGATTTAATGTAGATCAGTCCATTTAACTAAACGTGAAACGCGAAAGGTTGGCCGCCTCCGGTTACGAAACTCGTCTTTTTAAATGATATCGCGTGAAAAATTGGATCGATCGAACGATAAAGATAATTTGGATCGAATTCGTCGGAATAAAATATATTTTACTTCGGTATTGATTGGAATCGATCTTAAAACGGAGAGAAAATTAACTGGATGGAATGAAAAGAGAACTGGATCGTTTGTATGATCTGTCTTAATATCTTGGATTATTAAAAATATAAAAAGTACGTGTGTTTAATTAATCATTTCTTTAATACAATATTTGAAATTCTTTTTTATAAAATAACAATACAAATTTTTTGAGAATTTTATTTGGATTAACGTGAATTGGGAAAATTGCCTATAGAGAAGGATACTATGTTATAGAAAGATTTCTAAATTTATATGATTGATAAAAAATTGAATATCGTAAGGAAATTATGTAATAATTGTTATATTTCAATTAAATCCAATATTTCTTCGCGTAGTTTAAAAAATGTTATTTTTTATGAATAATTATTTAACATTACTTTTTTCGATCCTCGTAACCTAATCCATACTAATAAAAAAACATAAAACAAAGTAAAATTGCGTAAATGTGAAAAATTGTATAATTTAACAATCGTGTCTACAATTTGAAAAATACAGAAAAGTATTTTATAAAAATATACTAATCTAATAAATTGTAGAAATAATTTTTCCATTAAAAGATGAATAATATTGTGGAATTAATCTTCAACTATCTTCAATGAAAAAATGATATGATTTATTCAACACAAACTTCTGTAATAGGAAATACTTTTCTTTTTTATTTATTAATTATAAGCTATGTAATATAAAACGTGTGAAAATTAAAAAAAGAAAAAAGAAAAGACGTCCATTTGATAAGGGTAAGGGTAAGAAAGAGTCGAGTAGCTCTCGATTTTATATTGGCCAACCTCTTTTATTGCGTCATTAATTAACAGAATGATGTGAGATGGTGCGTAAACCTTGCTATAAAGGTTAGCACATAGAGAGGACCCTAAAATGAAGTGATTCACTTGTCTCGACAAAAAACCTGTTAGAGTTTCTATTGGTAATTTGATGATGATATAAAAAAAAATTAACTCCTTAGGCCCCAATAGTAATACTTAATATGAAAATCCGTGTAAATAATACGTGATCTGATTTCGATACGATTTCGATGTTACGATCATGGCAAAAGAAAATAATTTCTAGACATAAAACTTCCTCTATATAAGTGAATCTTATATTATTTAATAGTAATTTAATATTCCGATTTAAAAAATATTTTTAAGAAAAGTCTTGCCAAATTCACAAATATTCCGAATTAAAAATTGATTCAATATCGAAGTATTTATGTATTTGGGATTTTTCATAGAAATATACTTTGAATTAAAAATTAGAGTTTCATAGAAATATATTTCGAATTATAAATCGAAAGCGATATATTTTCGAATTAAAAACTTTCTTTATTTGAAGTTTTATGCCATTGTATTTTATTTCTTACGAAATAATTATTTTTCACGAAAAGAAATATAATACATTAAAGAAATACAATACGAAAAGAAATATAATACATTAAAGATTCAATCATAACTATATCTAATAAAATTAATGCGCCATATTAATTTTCGTAGGTCGTTAGATGATGACGTCAGAAATGTACACCATATTTAATTTTGTCAGCTTCATTTCCACGAATTCTCTCTAATATAAAATATACCGCGATATATATTATTACGATGGAATACTAGTTAATGTTATAGAAGGTTACGAGTTTCAAACAAAACAACAAAAATCATTGCAAACGAATCAACAAAAATATTCGCCATCTGTTAATATACTTTATTTTTTGTCCACGCGCCGAAATGCTTCGATATATTTCGTGATGAAAGTCGAAGGACATGACTCGTTTGAATACATTCACTACGCGCCAAGGAGAACGCTATGCTCGAAATGCGTAATATTGAGTAAAAGGAGGAAAAATATATCAAATATTCTTACCTGGGACAAGTCGGAGTCATCGCGAATCCTGGCGTCCATAGTTTGAGTGGCGATGATTTCGATTGCAAAGGCAATCAGGACAGCCGCGGTGAACAAACAATTGCTGATTGACGACATAGTTCTCCGTGAAATGTTCACTGATTCGAACAAAGAATGTCACGATCGCACGAAATTCACCAATTCACTATTCGGAACAGTAGTTTTTTCAATAATACGGCACAAAGAAAAACCGACGCGAAACTACGATCGAGGATCACGGTCGATGCGCGCTCTACTGCACAGCAACTTCGATAGGTCGAAAACGCGCAATTGGGACTGTTTTCAAGAGTCAGCGACCTAACGGTCGCACGGTATGCGCACTACCGCCGCACGCGCGGTATTTGAAACGAAGAAAACGTTTTTTTTTAATCAAGCACGAAACGACGTGACGATAAACGGGGTTGAAGAACACGAAGAAACTGAACGACAAGATCGTTCGACGTCACGAGGAGAACTCTCGGATCGAGAATCAACGCACAAGACGAGTCACGAGAGGAGCAAACGTACCGAATGACTCCACACTCTTTTCGTAGGACGTGTCAACGATACGGAGGATGGCGCGGAACTGCGCCCTCTCCATGCCTGGACCCCCGTAGCCCCCACCACACCACCGAAACGAGTCTTCGGTATACCGTACTGTCGTCTCCCCTCCTCCGCGTCCGACTTTCCCCCTCCCTTGTGCCACGCGTTACCCATAGCTCGCCGCGACACACATTAAACACACCCGTATCGCGATGAGACTTGTGAGTTGGAATGGTTATTCAATTCTCTCTTTTGCAAGTAGTCTTCTGGTTAGGATTTATTCCAAGTTATAGTTTGGGTATAAATATTGGAAATAATATGGATTCGACGTTTGATAAATAACGTGTTTCGATGAGATTGATTGGAACGAATGAAGGGAACGATCGGAACGTGGAAAAAGTGATTTATCGAAAGAACGATTGGATGCTAACCTAAAAATATATTTCTAAATCGGATTGAAATGACGAATGATTACAATGTTTTATAAATATTTGATTCCCATTGCAAGAAAATTTTATTTGAGTTTCACTGAAGGTATGCATTTAGTGTAAATATAGACTTTTTTTCTATAAATAATACGAAAGAAATTATGAATACGATGAGGTTATAGTTGTAATAATTAAAGTAATTTTGTAAAAATTATATCATGTTTTATAGTTGGAATACAACTTCATTGTTATTGCAAAAAAATAAATAAATGAAGGTAATGAAATACATAGAATACAATATATTAAATGTTATTAATAAGTGAGGAATAATTAAATTGATTATTTATTTATTTCAGCTGTAATTTCTTTGTAATTAAAAGGTAATTAAAAGGTAATTAAATAATTAAAATCATAAATTTGTTCATTAAATTATATAATTTTCAAAATTTATATGAAAAATAAATGTAATCTTGTCACAAAAGATATTAAATCAAGTTCTAAAAAAAGAATATATATATATGTATAAAATTTTCTTTTTCAACAAAAATTGCTATTTTATCCTGATTCTAAATTATACATCTATGATTCTAATTATACATCTTCTTAACATTCTTCAGATATATTTAATAATTTTTTTTCTCCCAAATTTTTTGATTAGTACATGTAAGTAACATTTCACATGAAATACGAGAACTTTAGTCCAAAAAGAAATCATATACTATCAATTTCAGGATACAAATTGTCACAATTTACATGCAAGAAAGTCTGGTCTGTTTGAAAGAACAGAAATCTTTTTCTTAAGGCCAGGGCTACTCGCAGTCGGAGGCACGATCGTCGCGCGTGACGTCATCCACCCTCTCCTTGACCAACTACTACGAGATCCCCGACTGTATCTCAACAAAGACAGAAAGATGTCACGTCTACAAGCTTTTCTCGTTCTCTACGAGTGTTCTTTCAAGAAGCCGCGCGTGTCTTCCCTTCTCTCTGCTTCGTCTGCGAATCTATGCTATTCGAAGCTGTTAGCCAAAAACACAGTCACGCTATATGAAAAAGACGCGGTTCTTCCATCCTGCTACATTCTTTTTTCGCCCCCTTTTATATATATATATATATCAGCTTGGAAAAAATCCGTCTCTGTTCAGGGACGAGAACAATAACGTTGCGCACAATGCGCCAATTTACCTCTGTGCCAAGTGGCAACCGTCTATCCGACTCGAACAACGAGAAACGACGAATTATCGTCGTTCAAAGAAGGACCAGAGACGGCCAAAGTGTACTGTGAACCTTGTGAACGTACAGTTAAGTACCCTTACTGATTGCCATTAATTAATTCCGGCTTTACAGCCTCCGACCTTCTTCCGTCTTAGCTCCGCCCTTAATACGTACACTCATAGTCGTGACTTCCGTCATTAATAATCTAACAGAGTCTAATCTAGAAATTGCTCTTTAATATAAAATGTCCGGGAAAATTTATTTTACACGATAATTTTGACGGGAAGATGGCGAAATTTTCATTCGTTGGTTGTACAGATATCTCCTCTAGATAGGTGGAAACACCACATAATTGTAAATTCGTTCTCAAGTTCAACGATCCAAAGAGGTATCAAGAGCATCCTGGTGGACTTAGACCGATTCTCCTAAGACAATGAGGATTAAGGAGGATCCCGATCGCGAATATAAACGCAATGGGCTTGTGGAACTTCCCTATCGTTCGCCTGTTCGCCTCCAATTGTACACCGAGAGTATTGCTAAGTTTGTCCCAATCCCTTAGGTAATTAGTAGCCTAGATACACCTGTTTGACCCCACCGACGAACCAATTTCGATTACTTAATCAAGTACTCACTCTGAGCTTTCGTCGTCACCATCGGGACAAAAATTCTAGGTAAAGATATTTTTCTAGTTTTTAGATATTTCTTGATATTAAACGAATTTAGATATGCATTGAAAGAAAAAATAATTCTACGATATATTTGTTATCTCGATAATAGATTGGAAAGTTATATCGAGAGAATGATTCTAACTTGACACTTGACAAAAGTCGTAAAATTTCGTATTTATATCGTAAGAAATTCAAAAGTTCTAATATGTATCGAGGAATAATTCTAGAATTTCGCATGAATCCAACGTTCCGTACGAATGATTTCTATGAGCAGGTTTGCTACGCCCGTTCTAAAACAAAAATAGATAATCCGCGGATGTGATCGAACGGTAACCATCGATCATACGATATTCCACACTCGATTGAACAACGTGGCAACAGTACGCAGCCTTTTCGAACACGATACTCTGTCTATTGGCCATAAAGCATTCGCGTGTGACGTTAATTTAACTTAATACGTTAAATTCCACGAGGCAATTTTTGGGGATTCAATAGATGTGAAAATGATCGACACGTTTCATCCCGATGGATCTTCTGTCGCGAACGTTAAAACGTCGTAAAAATGGAAAAGGCACTCGTGTGGGATCGCGTTGAAATTATCGAGCGGCTCGCGATTCCGCGAGAATTACGGTTCGAAACTTTATATCGCGTGAGAATAAAGCGGACCACGTGGACGGTTTAATGAAACGTTTTATCGAGTTTAACTTTAGCTTTCTCTTTGCTCCAATAGTGGGAGATTAGTCTTTTCGTGGCCTTGTGAAATCTAATTTTTTAATAGAATTTCCACTTTTACGCGAGCATTCGATGGTATCAACAGATAGCGAAGGAAAGTTTTTATAGATTAAATATTTTGTACATTTCCTTCTCTTTTCTTTTCTTTTTTTTAACGAATATGAATGAAGAAGGTGAAAAATTCTTCGTAATGCTTTTTTTTTTTAATTCATTTGACACAAGTAAAATTTTACTTAGCAATTTTTCTAAATTTTTGAAATCGAGAATTTTAAGAAAGACTGAGATGAAACAAAATTTTGAAATTCTGTGTTAAAACGGTCTCGATATTCTATAACAAGTTTAATATTATCAAATTACTTTTTCGAAATTATTACAGAACTGTAAAAATGGATTAAAGCAAAAAGCATCGAATTTTTCAATCGAATCGAGAAATCAAAGGAAAATTTCTCTATGAAACGTGAATGGAGATTATCGCTTTTTAAAATACCATTATATCTATTGGACAGAAATTTTTCTATTTCGTTATATATTTAAATAGTATCAAAGAAAAAAAAAAAAAATGCCCGGATTAAAGCGAAATGCATTCAATTTCCATAAAATTTGTGCAATAATCTTGTCAACTAACCCCACCAATTTAACTTTTTCAGTAACTCACTTACACCAATCATCCCCAATGATAATTTCCCAAAATTACCCCTTTAAAATACAGTATTTATATCGCACCTATTTTCACCGCAATTTTCACTTCAAACGCTCCACGCTCGCTTAACTATTCCACATTAATAAAATACTTAAATCAAACTATTTAAACCAAAACCAAACGAGGCATGAATTTAACCTTTAAAAGAGAAGAACCAATAATAATTTATTCAAAAAAAAAAAAAAAAAAAAAACAAACATTTTACAGAACTCAACAATTCAACACTCACATGTCTTATCCCTCCAAAAATATTCCTTTCATCAAACATTTCGCGAAAAATATTCGTTAAGGAATTGAGACGTTCCTCTGCAAATTATTCGTAGCTACGAAGACGAGAGGGGAAACGCTTCGTTTTCCGCACGTGACGAGGGAATCCAGGGAATGCAAGGACATATCGCTACGCTTCTCAACGAGGAGGATACCCTCGATTTTCAGAAGTGAGGCTGGTACTTGGTTGAGAAAATACGTAAGATAAGGCTTGACACACTTTAACCATTTCTGCTGCGGGAACACCGCGCCGGAAACCCCCTTGGGGAGCTGGCGTGCAAGATGCGGGGAGTCCAAGTTTGCCAGCGTCTACTTCCGGCAAGGAAGAACGCGCCTGGACTATGGAGCGATGCGGAGGTCGCCGGGCTCGGTCCCTACATTGAGAAACGTATTTGTAAACATACATCCTACCCACGAGGCTCGAGCAGCCAGCCTCGTCGCCGTGTCGCGGTAAATCCCTGTACATTAATATTAATGCGTCTTCGGCATGTACGACATACTCGTGCCCTCTACTCAGCTGGTTCTCCGCATCGCAGAAAGCACGAGAGTTTACGGCACCAACCGTGAACACGAACAACCTCTTCGCAATATCTGCGTCCCGTCTCTCTATTTTCCCTTTCTGCGCGACCGTTTCTTATGTCGCCTCCCCCATCTCGTTTGGATAAAATAAGACCATTCTTTTTAATTAGCTTCTTTTTTTCTTTTTTTTTTTTTTTTTCGATGTTCGTTGCGGGTTATAGAAAGATTTAGAGATCGTGGTTAAGGAATAATTATCGTGGAAAGGAAGATTGTAATTTAAATTCTTTATCTTTGTTTTTTCTTGATTTTGTTTGATTGAGAAGAAGATTTATAAGGATATAATTTTATAGAAATCGTGGTATAAAGGATTATAAAGGATTAGTAGCAAAGTTATAGATTTTTCAAAAAATTATTGCCATTCTCTTTCATGTCAACATAACTTTCTGATATTTACAAAATTCTCTTTACGTTTATTTTCTTTTTTTTTTATATTTTATCGTTTTGATATTTTTATAGTATTATATTTTTGAAAAAAAAAGAAATTAAATATTCGAAAAATATAGAATGTATTAATTTACTTGGAAATATAGTAGAAAGAAGAATAATCGATATAGATCGCAAATGATAGATCTTCCTGTATCTAGTTTCAATCGACGAGAGAGAGAGAGAATTTGGTGAAATATAAAAAAAAAGGCTATTGTCAAATCAAACGAGAATGGAAACTGACCTGTGATAGTCAAAATCCTGCGAGGCAGAGGAAATATGACGGATGCGTTAGCTTTGGGGGCAGAACAATTAAACTGGTTGAACGAATGAATGGATAGAATCAATGAATGTACAGGTAATTTATTTTATTCCAATTTATAAACTTCTTTCTCCATGCCATCCGGATTAATATTTTTAATCTTCTGTTGAAAACAGATCAAACCTTGAATCCGTCTAATCCGGACTGCTTTTCTCATCCTCCTCCCAAATATTAAGAAATATTTTCACGCGTGAATGTTCATTTACAATCTTCTCCACAGCAATCTTACAAATCTGCAAAACCACGCAAAATAACTCGTATTTTTCAACGCATAAAATGGCGATATTTCTCAATATTTCCCTCTACATATATATATAGTTCCCGATGGAGCATGGATTTTCATAATCCCAGACACGTACATCATATTCCCTTGAAAATAATGACGCGAGAACTCACCTATTTTAAAAATCTTGTTTCCATTTTAGAAATATCTCGAATAATCATCTTACATCTCTTGACCATCTTCACATCCGTCGCAATAATTTAAGAAATTCGAAGATCGCCCCCTCGTTCGATGATAATTTGTCAAAAAATAATTTGAAAGCTTCACCATCACTTCCCCCTTAATTCGATCGATATTGCATCAAGAATCCAACATTCGCCATATTGCAGAGGGTGTCGTGCGAAAGAGGGACGGCATCCAGCCGACACGTATCCAGCTAGCACGTTATTAAGAGGGCTAACCGTATTCAGTTGCATTACACGCACGGTCCACATATGCCGGCAGGTGTATAGGCATATGTGGGGTAAACGACACGATGCTCGACGACGGCTGAGCTTCGTTCAGGATGGCTCGTTACACGCTCAAGCCGAACTGCCACGCGGAAACAGAACTCTCCGGTATCAAGGGGGAGGCTGTGGCAACAAGATGTTATCACAATTGCACAGGCGGAAACAACCAACGCTGTAAGCCGCGTAAGGAATGTTCGGATTAGTTCTCTTAGACCCAGAGTTAAGCCCGCCATCGTTTTCTCGAATGCCTGAACGTCGCTTGTTAGAAACTAACGCCTCGACGTTCGAGCGATACGCGAATATAATTCACGCGAATTAATATATCGGACGTAACGTCTCGTCAAATTAACGTAATACCGTGTGATGGGCACACAGTGGTTGAGATTTAACGCGAGTGTAAAGATTGCCTGTCGTCGATGGCTCACTGCAACAGGGAATGTGTCGACAGAAAGACGTATACGGTGGTAGAGCACACACGAGGCGAGTTTCATAAGGGCGCAAAGGGCACATTGGACATTGAAGAAATTTCGTGTAGGTGGAAAAGGGAATAATGTTTCTTCCGTCGTGATCGTTGTTGGTGGAAAAGTTTTGGCTCGAGGAGAGGGGCGGTTTTTGGGTGAAGTTTGTTTTAAAGTGGATGAGAGGGAATCGGGAACTGGAAGATGTTTTTTGGTTGGTGGAGGAAGTTGTTGGTTAATTTTATTGTTCGTGATCGGTATTGTTGAATCGTGGATGATTTAAATCATATTATAGGATATTTATTATTTATTAGATTGGTAAAAGTTTTTATGCAGTTTCAGCGAGTCTAATTGGATGGCATAAAATTATTTTTATTGAACGTTAAAGTAGGAACGTTGTCTGAAACTCTTTGAACTCTTTTTCTAATATTATTGAACTTTGAAATATTAAAGTTCTCGGTAAAAAGAATATCGAGGATAATAGGGAATTGAAAGATATATTCAATAGTGGAATAATCTTATAGTGTTGAATTTGTAAATTTTTCTGAAGAAAGTTGGATAAAAGAAGATGATAATTTTTGAAATTCATCATTTCAGAAATTTGAGAAATTTCAATTTTAGGAATAACTTTTTATATGACGTGTTGTATGATAAGAAAATATTATCGTATTTGTACGCAAGTAAATTTAAAGCTGTTGAGCATGCAATATCAAATAATCACATTTATAACTACGAAAATTAAATAAAACCAACGCACGTATAACATAATTAAATATTAATTGCTAATTATATAAAGAAGTTTTATCATTCTAATATTATTGTTATCACCGAATCGAATCTTTTATTTAACTATTTCCAATTAAAAATAAAAATTTTCTTCCACCAGGATGTTGAATATAATCCCGATTCTTGTAATATTTGAAATGATTTATTGAACACATATTGTATTTTATGAAGGGAATAATTGGAAGTTGAAGTAATATCTTAGAATTTATTTCTCCATCAATTTCCAACCGCGTAAAGTAAAGAGAATTGATAGTGCTAAATTTAAAAAGGAATGAATCAATTATTCGTATACACACTCAGAATTCATAATAATAGAATTAATATAATCAGGATGAACAAATTGGAACACGTACGTAAAATATAAAAAATGTAAAGGAGGATATTTGATGGATAAATTAAACAAGAATTATTCGATCAATCATTATTATACATCCTCAAGAATATAAATATTATCACGCACGTTCAATTCAACTTTAAATTACAAAATAAAATTAAAAAAGAAGAAAGAAAGAATATACTAAGATAAATTTTTATCCCCTTCCCCAAAAAAAACTACCCCAATTTCTGAAACAATTCCGTCTCAATTTCCGCCTCAACATCAAAAACAGAAAAGAGACGAATACGAATCGAAAGAAGGAATGATCCAAGATTCAAGACATATTATTTGTCCCGTAACCAATCATCTTCGCGTGACTTCATCCCCGCAGTCTTGAGCAACGTAATCGTATTAAGGAATCTTGGCGCGGAGTGATGCTGCAACCGCGTAATACTGCAAGCTAATTTTCCGCTTGTAAAATAGCCGGGCTCCGGGTATCGTAATTAATAACCCGTAAGATGATTTACGGACTTTGCGTCTAATAAACCGCGCGTTACATCGTGGAGCACGCTTATTTTATAGAGGTGGGTGCCTCGAAACTCTTTCGCGAGAATGCGAACATCGTATATCATTCGTTCCTCTTCCTCCTTTCGAAGGAATCGTGGCTTCTTCTTCCAGGGAGTAGCGGTTTTTCGAAAATCGGTTGCTTCGATGTTTATTTTTTAATCGCGTATCCCGCGACCGGAATAACGATCAATTTTTTATGAGTCGAACGTTTCATATTTGAAGACTGAGGACGTGAAAAATGGAAAGGGTTGTATATTGGAAATGAAATTTTTAAGGAAATCATTTTTCTACTGAAAGTTCATTTATTTTTTCTTTTTTCTTTTTCATCTATTATATCGTTTTATCTTATCGTTCGAATTATAATAATCGAGGTGTGTTGAAAAATTGCTTGGTACATTTTTTAACGGAAGAGTTTTCTGTAATACTATCTAAATTCAGATTGAAATAAAAATTGCAAACATTTTAATCGGTACGAGTACAATTTTCACTCTCGAGAGAACAAATTTAAACTCTCGATCTCCTTGAAACCAACCCAGCCAGATTAATTAAGCGAAGCCTAATTTCTTACAATCCCTTCAATTGCAAACTGGTGCTAGGTGAGAAAGCATAAAAGCCGGAATACGAAATTTTCCCACACGAGGTTTTCCACGATCGACGGGGATTCGTTTGTAAGAGGCCGAGACGAGCCGTTGAAATTAATTGGCTTTGACTCGGGTTATTAATTAACCCATCCCTGGCGATAGCCAATTGTACTCGATGTGTCATAACCCAGAAATGGGAGTGGAGCAAACCGCGGGCAAACTTTCACGAGCTCGAGGATCGATATTTCGTAGTTGTGGTGCTGCGAATTATGGTTCCCTCGTAAATCAATATCCGTCGTTGCAAACTTGGCCGTGTTTCGTATTAAAGAATACGTGGGTATAATGCTTATGTGCCATCCTATTGATTTAGTTATTGTTAATCATTTAACGGATGTGGATATAATTCGATAATTCCCCTCACAGGGGAGAAAATTAATTTTTAAAGTTTATACGGGATTTATAACTTTCGCCAATTTGCAAAAGTTGGATGAGATTCGAGTTTGAAGTCGAAATTAGATTTGGGGAGGAGGAGGGGTGGGGGGAGATCCTTCGAAGGGTATGCGACATTACGAGTGAATAATTTCTTCGCATCTACTACTCAGGGATAAATTCAATGGGATACTTGTAATTTAATGCAATTAAATATTTATCAGAGTGTTATTAATCGAATATTCAGAATGTAGAATGGTTTTCGTCGTGTCGTTTTAAATTTCCCTCTTTTTCTCCCCGACTCGTTTTCTTCACAATTTTACATTAATTATAACGATTTTCTCGATATAAATAATAAATCCTAGTTTTTTAATTCCACGATAAACAACGATTTATCCTTGATCGTGTTTCATTAAGATTAAAACTGGCATTTTCTCAATTAGAATCCTATTGAATATAATTATAACGTGACATTTAATGTATACAATTATTCTTTTCTTAATATATTCAACAATATTTTTAAACAAAATTGATTTCAAACTCAGAGGCACAGAAATCGCAATTATTCCGCGAGTTTTATGCATAGTTATGCAAGAATTACGAATTATTATGTGCTGAAAGAATTAATTACCTTTTAACCGACATAAAATAAAATATACTCGAAATCTTTCATCACGGTGGAATTACCTAAAATACACTCTCAAGATCGGGGTATTTTTACAAGTAAACGCGAACGATCTCGAAGTTAATCTCGACTCCCTGTGAAGGCATGTCGTGCGGCATATATCTGAAAAGAAAAAAAAAGGTGAAATTAGCCAACATTGAAGTCCTCGTTTACGTTTCTCTTATTACAAGATGACACGGGGATTGGGGACAGGGGGTTACAGAGGTCGGGAAAGGGGGTTAGCGTTTGACAAATGCGTGAATCGCGTGCGGCGCCCGTGTAAATCGAAACCTCGATGCAAGAAAGGGCACAAGTGGCGCGGAAATCGCGTATCACGGGGGCAAAACTCTGCTCCACAGTTTAACAACCACGATCCACGAGGTGCCTCCGCCTCCCATTCTCATTTCCCCCGATTCTTTACCGTGCGATTAAGTCGTCCGTTTTCTTTTTGCCGACAGTTTCCTTTACCCGCGACATCGGGGAATTTTTCTTTTACGTTACGCCGCCGTAATGTATCTGGCTGTTAAGGGAACAAAAAAGGAAACGAGATCCTTCGCCATATCTAAACCATTTTCGGGGATATATATATATATATATCGGATATAAATGGAACTGTCATTTTTGTTTTTTTTTTTTTTCAATTTTTTTCTTTTCTTCTCTAATATCCTCTCTTATTTACTCGTAATTTCGTCTAGCTATACGTTCGTTTTATTTCTTAATCGTTAATCGTGTCTATTGTTTAAGATTAATCTTATATTTAAATTGACTTGGATTATGTGATGTTTATTTTAAAATTATATAAATTATATATATAAAAAGAAAAAAGAAAAAATGTTGAAGGTAAAATTAATAAAGCAGCGTGATCGAAAAGTTTAAATTTAATTTATCAAAATGTTAGGTTAAAAATTATTCGCAACGAGTATAACACATTTTATTACGTCTCTATTTAAACGTGTTTAAGTTTCTGACGCGTGATATATAATGTTTACAATTACGCATTCTTTAAACAAATATTACGTCCAATATGCTAAATCGTTCGTTTATTATGCACTTCGGAAAGAACCTCTGGGAATAACGACGTAATGCATGCATAAAATAGCAAACGAAAGCTACGCTGATTTAAATTCATTTGTCCATGCGAATGTACGAAGTCTATTGAATTTTCACATGCCACTTACGATAAAAGCGCCGATAAAAGCTTCCAATAAACTGGTTTAAGCCTTGAATCCTGATTAATTTTTTCCCCCCGCGCTTCGTCGTCTCGTGATTAAGATTTATCGGATTCCAAGGGATTCTTCTTAATATATTTTTCAAATTACTGTTACTGTTGTTCAACGCTCGAACAATTTTTAATCTTTTTGATTAAAATTAAAAAAAGCGTGAAGCACGTTAGAAAATAAGAAAAATAATAATCGTATTTCCAAAAAAACGTTATCTCTCTGAACATTGCACATTCTAATAATAATAATAATCTTTTTTTTTTTTTCGAAAAGGAAGAGCTCGTCATCCCTAATGTTTATCGAGGACGTTTTTCAAAGATCGATTCATTATTACATCGATCGTCGAATCGAACGGATACATAAGAGGACAGTTGAAGTTGAAGTTTATTACGAGCGTAAGAATACGCGGAATAAGCGGAAATAGTTATTGAATGCCTTGCTACAATTTCAATTCGAAAGTTTCGTTTAGTTTCGAAACCAAGAAGACCGAAATGTTCCCTCCCTCCCCCTCCCTCTTCCTTCCCCTTCGGTTGAGGGGAAACGTAAATAAATGAATTATTCAGAATACCAGGTTTGATTATGGCGGTGTAATTATTGAAACGCGGTATTGTGCCGTATAATACACCTGTTACGCGTACTTATTAACTGAATTGCCAACTAATTTCATATTCCACTCTTATTTGAACTAATACAGTTTATCACCGGGGAAACACCGTCTCAATTATATCGGCGAAGTTTAAAACGTTTTACGACCACGTTCGCCACAGTTGACGGAGATTAAGAAGGCGAAGTGAAATCTTTACCTTTCTCATCATTTTTCTATTATTATTAAATTTTCCCCTGCGAAAATGTAAATGGAGGAAGGAACAACTCTCTTACATTAAATTGAACGAGTCGAGATGAAGAATTATTTTGCGTAACCTTGCAAAATTAATTATCCTTATTCCAAATTTATAAAATTATTCAGAAAAGAAAATCTATGATCCATCAATTCATGTTTAGATTAAAAGAATATACATCACATTTACAAGAATATACAAACTACCCTTTACTCAATTGTCACATTTTACAATAAAAATTGGAATATCTGAAATTGGGGGTTAATGCTTAAGAATAAGTAAGATGTATACAGGAAGAAATACTTTTGGAGGATCGCTTTCTCCTTTGTTTCAATCGTTCCGCCCTGATTCGCAAGAAATTTATTGTATCGGGAACAATAGATCGTTTTAAGGTGTAGATCGTCGACTTTTCCGCGGTTTCGTATAACGATCGCTCGTTAGCCAGGCTAATTACTCGGCTAGTGGGCGTTGGACTGTGAAAGTTCGTTAGTTAGTACTACAGGTTAGTGCCCAAAGAGGTGGCATTCATTCCACCTCCCTCTCTCTTCAACTTACTTACGCCCTCCCTCTTCGTCTTTCGCAGTTTCACCACCACCAGCTTCTTCCTTCTATTCTGATTGCTGACTTACGAAAACCGCAGGTGTCGCACTTTGCTGGACGAGTTCAAATAGGGGGGTCCGGCTTAAATTCGTCCAGATTCTGTGGCCAAAACGTCTCGACGGCACGAACTCCGGATCTTTCTCCCTTTCGTTTACCTTGTTACGTACGTATTTTTTCTTTCCATTTTGCAAAATGGTATTTCAGAATGAAGTTCCTTTTTGGATATTATCCTCGAGGGATTTTCTTTAATTTTATCTTGGACTTTATAAAAAAATATGTATATTATATTATGTATATTAATTTTGAAGATTGACATCATTATGATTTATCAGCAAATCATTCAAGTTTCGTAAGTTTAAAATTTAAATTAATTTACGCGTATAATATATGCAATTCAAGGATAGAAAAAAATAAAGATTGACTGGTTTCAAGTTTTTTTGTGGTTATCGAAACAATTTTTCTCAAGAGATTGATCAAAGATCGAGGAGCAGTTAATACTACGTATTATGGGTTATCTTAATTATTAAGATCTCAGATTTATTTGTTGAAATCGATAAGTATTTCAAAGTCCAAAGAGATTCTATAATAGTCACAGTTCTCCAACAGCAATGGTATTAGTCGAGCAAGATGCGTAGGAGGTCGCAAAGAGGGTCAGAATGTATCAGGTACACCATCTTCAAGTTTCAGTCGTTTGATGCTTTTGTTCGAGGCAAGAACGGCACACATGTAAATACGAATGTGTAAGGGGAAAGATGGAGTGTGTGGATTATTTCAATTATTTTAAGTGACCTAATTCATCTTCGTTTCAGATATCGTAACGTGATGGAAAGATATTTCAACAATTTTTGGAATTGTCATGGTAACGTTCATTTCTAAAGATAAAAAATAAAAACTGATCGAAAATTTTGGAAAATTATATTATTTGGAACAAAAATAACACGTGTTTTTTTTTATTAAATCCAGAATTTTATTCACAAAAATTGTATTGCGTCCTGATTTTTATCAAGAATTCTTTGAATCATGTTTCGTTGCGATTTAAATTTTCTTTTTCGTCGTATTTTGTTGTAAATTCGAATATGTGGATATTATTAAGCTTTTGTTTAATTTAAAGTACGATTACAAAAGATGGAATTTTCATTTTCGTAAAATTTCTTGATACTATTTATTGAAATATATTTTAAATAAATCGAGAAACGAATGTAAAAGACAATTATTAAAAAGTCAAATTACCATGTCGGAATCAAGCAATTCCCATAACAATTATTGATACACGATTTAAATTGAAAAATTGCAATTGAATCGTGAACAAATAAAATTCCAATTATAAAGAGTTACATTCAACTTCCAATTATTTTTATTGGAAAACTCGTATTCGTATCGCTGCACACACACATATATATTTTTCTTTTTTTACAATTATTAACATTATTGGGCATCTTTTATGCCCAAACTTTCAAAATGATCGATGAAAAATGATCGATCGGGAAGATTTGCAATCGAGAAGAGAATTTGTTTTCGTTCTCGAAAATTTATTAACGAGAGATCGGCATGGAACACCATCGAGATAATTGAACTTCGCCGTTGTTTCCAGGTTACAAACTTAAAATGTTAATTAGCGATCGAGATATAAATAATTCAACGTTGCACTCTATTGAAAATACGGGAATAACGATAGCTATATGCCATCATTTAATTAGCAACTTTTAACGTTCACTATGGGACACGTCGTAATTGTTATCTCAAGAGAATTGATACTGCGCTGATTTGCGTTTATCTGCGAAGAGAGAAAGAACTGGAAACTTTTCTCCCTTTTTCAATTCGAATAATTATTTGAAATTTATTGAAAGTGGTTTAATTTTTTCAAATTGTAGCTTAAAAGAAATTTTATTTGTACACGGAAGATTGAAGCAGCGAGAACAACGCTTTTGTTTACTTTCGATCACAGTGAAATTGCACGATTTGAATTATTATTAGATACAGCTCGGCAATGTTTACAGCGTTTTGTTAATCGCGCGAATGAAAATGTAAAATAATATCAAAGGAGGATAAGTTAACAAGATTTTCAAATATTTTTCTCCTCCTTTGAAAAGAGAAGGGACGAAGATTTCTTAAAGATTGTTTTCGAATGTTCGTGAATTGTTATTAATTCGATGATAGATTTCGAATTTTCTTTTAGTTGATATCTCTTATATTTCTTTGTAAATATAAAATTAAACATCACGGCGAAAAATTTAATTGAAACACGGACATGTTTAAAAATATTTAACCAAGGCGATGACCTAATTGAACGAACAAGCAATTGCATTGAGTTTATTATTTTGTAAATATATTTTCGTCATTTTTAACAAAGGAATTCCGTTTAAATGGTATAGATAGAAAAGAGAGAGTCCAGTCCTCTAGTGCGATCTCTTAGGAATATTTGCAAAAATGTACATCAGCTGTACATCGTTGAGAAAATATTCTC